TGTACCGAGGCCGCCACTGGTGCCCCCCTGTCCACGTTCCCCCGGGACCCGGTGTCCGGCCTGTTCACTCTGGACACCGTGCCCCCCCGGCTGGAGCGCCCCCTCAGGTGGCTGTGTCTACCCAGGTTGCTGCTGCCTGCTCCTGTCGCTCCCTCACTCACCCGACCCTCCTGTGGCACCACCGCCTAGGTCACCCTGCGCTCCCGCGTCTGCGTCACATGTCCCAGCACGGTCTTGTCCTTGGTCTCCCAGGTTCACTCCCCGCGTTTCCCTCCTCCCCAGCTCCACCTTGCACGCCTTGTGTCGAGGGTCGGCTTCGCCGTGCCCCTCACTCCTCCTCGTTCCCCCCTACCGCCGCGCCGCTGCAGACCCTGCACCTGGACGTCTGGGGCCCCGCCCCCGTCCCTGGGCCGCGTCGCGAGCGCTACTTCCTTGTGCTTGTCGACGACTTCACTCGTTACACCACAGTCTTTCCCCTGGAGCGCAAGGCTGACGTGCCTGGCGCCCTCATCCCCTGGCTTGTCTCTGCGCGTGTCCACCGCGGTCTCCCTGTCTTGCGTCTTCACTCAGACCGTGGTGGCGAGTTTGCCTCAGGTGTCCTCGGTCGCTTTTGTCGTGCGGAGGGCATCACCCAGACGTTCACCCTACCGGACTCCCCACAGCAGAATGGGGTCGCTGAGCGACGCATCGGCTTGGTCATGGAGGTCGCTCGCACCTCCATGGTCCATGCCGGTGCACCCCATTTTCTATGGCCGTTCGCTGTGCGCTACGCTTCTCACCAGCTTAACCTGTGGCCGCACCCTCAGCAGCCGCAGGTTTCGCCGACCCGTCTGTGGACTGGGTCTCCTGGTGACGCGTCTGCGTTCCACGTCTGGGGCTGCCTTGCTCACGTCCGTGCCTCCGGCACGGACAAGCTCACTGCCCGCACCCTTCCCTGCGTCTTCCTCGGTTTTCCCCTCGACGCGTCCGACTGGCACTTTTACCACCCGCCGTCTCACCGCTTCTTTCACTCTCGTGACGTCACCTTTGACGAGTCCGTCTCCTACTACCGCCGCTTCCCCCACCGTGGTCCCCCGGTTACCCCCCCGCTGTTCCTGGTCACCCCTTCCCCAGTAGTCCCTGCCCCTCCTCCTCCTCCTCCCCGTCCCGCCCCCTCTGGTGTCTCCCATGTCACCCCCCTTCCGTCGGTGGACCCGGTTGAGGAGTCTTCTGACTCTGGTGGCCCTCCGGTGCAGTCCTCGCCGACCGCCCCTCCCCAGGTGTCCCCTCCCCAGTCCCCTCCTCCGCCGTCCCTGCCGCCACTGCAGCCGTCGCCGTCGCCGCCGCCGCCGCCGCCGCCGCAGTCGCAGCCCCCGCTCGCTGACTCTGGGGGTGCTCGTCCCGGTCGCCCTGAGGGTGGTCCCTCTGGGGGTGCGGGTGTGGAGAGTGCCGGTGGTAGCCGAGGAGTAGCTTGCGGTCCAGGTGTCGCCGTTGTGCCGCCGCAGCAGCAGTCCCCGCCGGTGTCCGCCCTTCGCCTGCTCGGCCTTCCGTCCCCCGACCCTGCGTCGGTTCCTCCCCGACCGTCTCCTCCTCTTCCTGTCTACGGCCCTGTTTTCCCTCCGCCGGACTCGTCCCCGGCCCGTCTCCCCCCTCGTTCCCCTCCTGTGTCCCCTCCCCTGTCTCCTGACCCGACTCCTCCATCGCACGTCTGGTCTCACCGTCCCTCCCGTGCTCGTCCTGCCTCGCCTGTCCTGCGCTCCCACCCTATGTTGCTTCGTTCACACGCGTCTCGTCCTCCCCTTCTGCCGTCGCCTCCTCCGTCCTCCCTTGTTGTTGCGCCCCCCCCGCTGTCCGACTACCTTCGTGCCGCTCGTCCTCTTGTTCCTCGGGTCCTTGCCTCTCTCGTTACCGACCCGTCTGTTCCAGTCTCGTGCCTTGACGCTCTTGTCGCTGCTGTCGCTGACTTCGCCTCTACCCGCCGCCTTGACTACGCCACCGCTCTGGTCTCTGACCCTGCCTGTCCTCCGTCTGTCGGGGGTGCTCCTGCCCTTGGCAGTGACGTCCTGGAGGACCGCCAGTTCGAGCTTGCTTTCCTCTCCGAGGCTGCTCCCCATCTCTGTTCCATGCTGCTAGTCCCTGAGGGTGACCCAGACGCTTTCGACATCCCGACCCCTCGCACTTACGCTGAGGCGACTTCGGGACCCTGGGCCTCGCAGTGGATAGCTGCCATGGAGCAGGAGATGGCATCTTGGAGATCCACCGGCACCTTCGTCGACGCAGTTCCCCCATCTTGGGTGAACGTAGTCGATGGCCGCTGGCTCTTCAAGGTGAAGCGCCCTCCTGGAGAGCCGCCTGTCTTCAAGGCGCGCTATGTGGCTAGAGGCTTCAGTCAGCGCGAGGGGGTGGACTTCTTCCAGACTTTCGCTCCGACCCCGAAGATGACTACTCTTCGGGTTCTGTTACACCTAGCTGCTCAGCGTGACTACGAGCTTCACTCCCTCGACTTCTCCACTGCCTTCCTTCAGGGCAGCCTACACGAGCAGGTCTACCTGCGCCGCCCTCCGGGCTTTACTGGCACCTTCCCTCCTGGGACCCAGTGGCTCCTGCGGCGCCCCGTCTACGGCCTGCGCCAGGCTCCCCGTGAGTGGCACGACACTCTGCGTGCTACGCTTGCTGACCTGCAGTTCTTTCCGTCTTCTGCAGACCCTTCACTCTTCGTTCGTGCTGGCCAGACTCCGTTCTACATCCTCGTTTACGTCGACGACCTGGTCTTTGCCACAGCAGACAGGGACGCGCTGGCCTCCGTGAAGGCAGAGCTGCTGAAGAGACACACCTGCACTGACCTTGGAGAACTGCGCCGTTACCTTGGCTTGCAGATCTCCAGGGACAGAGCTGCGCGCACCATCACCCTGACTCAGTCACACTTGGCGCGCCAGGTCCTTCAGAGGTTCAGCCTTCAGTTCTCCTCTGCACAGCCCACCCCTCTGCCTGTAGACCACAGGCTCTCCGCTCCAGTGCCTGAGGAGTTGGTAGAGCCCAGCGGCCCCTACGCAGAGCTGGTGGGTTGCCTCATGTACCTGATGACTTGCACTCGCCCAGATCTCGCATACCCTCTCAGCATCCTGGCTCGCTTTGTGGCCACAGGCAGACACCGACCGCAGCACTGGTCTGCCGCTAAGAGGGTTCTGCGTTATCTTGCTAGTACATCGGGCATGGGGTTAGTGCTAGGAGGACGCAGGCCAGCGGTCCTTACTGGGCACACAGACGCTTCGTGGGCAGACGACGCTGAGACACTCCGGTCTACCCAGGGCTACTGCTTCAGCCTTGGCTCAGGTGCCGTCTCGTGGAGAGCTACTTGCTCCTCGTCTGTTGCACAGTCCAGCTGTGAGGCTGAGATCTACGCCGGTGCCATGGCGGCACAGGAGCTCCGCTGGCTGACCTTCTTGCTCACTGACTTAGGTGAGCGACCTAGCTCTGCCCCGGTCCTGTTCGCTAACAACAGGGCCATGATCCTCCTGTGTCAGGAGCCTCGACTCGAGGGCAGAGCGAAGCACATTCAGCTGCGGTACTTCCTCCTGTGTGAGCTACAGCAGCGACGTCAGGCTCGCGTAGTACACTTGGCCTCAGGTGCCAACACGGCTGATATCTTTACGAAGGCGCTTGCACCTAAAGATCATCAGCGGCACTGTGTACAGCTTGGTCTAGTTCCTGTAGCCTCTCACTTGCTAGGACCTTGACTTTGTACTGTCCTTTATATGTATGCTCAGACTGGAGTTGTGTCCTCTCCCAGTGGCTGGACTAGTAGTGCCGCCCTGCTCTTATGCTTGCCTTGTCTGTACTCCTTCTGACCGGTCGCTCAGACCCTTGTCTCAGAGGTTGGACTAGTAGTGCCGCCCTGAGCTGCTTGTTTAGGGTATTCCCCTATGCAGTCTAGGGGGTGTGTCAAACATGTGTATTTGTCATGTTTGTATAGACTGTATAGAGTCACCTCTTAGAGGATACAAAACTTAGATATATTTGTGTGTACTCTCACTTTACCATTATTCAATTATTTTGAGAAACATGTGTATCTCCTATGTTTGCATAGACTGTATAGGGCCACCTCTTAGAGGGTACAACACTTAGGTATATTCACCTGTACTCTCTCTCTACTCAATAATCCAGTTCTCACTTTAACATGGTATCACGCGTAGGTTAGAATTGTTAGAGATAGGCTGCAATTCGGTCGGCACAATTTTGTGTGTTGACACTTTGTTGGTTTTAGGGATACCCATATTTGTTAGGTTGGGTGTAGCTATGTTTTCATCCCCAACCTATCCCAACCCAATCCATCCCAAATCCCCACGATTTGGGAGGATTCCCTTGGGATTCCCTCCGATTCTCCCTTATCCCTTCCCATCCTCTCCGATGCTCGGTACTTAAGGATGTATGCTCTTGCTCATTTCAATCAATCAAGTTCTCAGTTTCTGATATGGTATCAGAGCTCGTTTCCGCCTAAGCGGCTCTTGATCCTCTCGCTCCGTTGGAGCCTAGCATTTGCGTCTTACGACGCAAAGCTTTTCTAGTCGCCTCAACTCAGCGCGGCGCTTCTCTTCGGGCTGACGCCCGTCGCCCCGCATCTGCGCGGCTCGTCTCTTCGGGCTGACGCCCGTCGCCCCGCATCTGCTCGTCGCACCTGATCGGGCTGAGCCCGTCGCCCCGCATCTGCTCATCACACCTGATCGGGCTGAGCCCGTCGCCCCGCATCTGCTCGTCGCACCTGATCGGGCTGAGCCCGTCGCCCCGCATCTGCTCGTCGCACCTGATCGGGCTGAGCCCGTCGCCCCGCATCTGCTCGTCGCACCTGATCGGGCTGAGCCCGTCGCCCTGCATCTGCTCGTCGCACCTGATCGGGCTGAGCCCGTCGCCCCGCATCTGCTCGTCGAAGCTGGACGGGCTGTCGCCCGTCGCCCTTGCAACAGCGGGGGGGTGCAGCGGCGAAGCGGAAAGGGGGCAGCGGCGAAGCGGAAAGGGGGCAGCGGCGAAGCGGAAAAGGGGGGGTCGCGGAGCAGCGGGATTGCAGCAGCACATCGCGGGTTTCCATAGATTTTCGGCGTTCAGATTTCCCTCTTTATCGGCTATTCCTCTTCTCCGAGTGTTGAAAATCCGCAAAGGGAAATCCTGTTTTTCGCGAAGTGCCTATCGGCGACTTAAGAGCTGCGCTACGCGCGGAGAAAGGGTCCTTGGAGCATCATGGCGTATCCTTCCGCGTCTCTCTCAAACCCGATCACTCCCTTGCGCCTCGACCCTAATGGCTCGAGCCCGAACTTCAAGGAATGGAGCTATGGGGTTGATAAGCATCTCCTAAGCCGCAAAATTGAGGGGATTTGCCTCAAGGATGTCCTCCTCAATCGCGGCAAAGGAAAGATGCCGATCCTTCCCAAGAGGCTCTCGGCCACAGCCACAGGGGAAGAGTTAAAAACCCATGAGGAATCCATGTCCAAGTATGAAGAATCTTACAGCGTGTGGGAGCAAGCCGACGCCGCTATCATTGGCGTCTTCGTCGGCACTACCCCTTCCGAGCTCGTCAAAACTTACCATAACTACCCCTCCGCGCACGCCATCTGGGAGTACCTCAACGACCGCTTCCTCAACAAAACCGCTGTGGGGGTGGCGATCCTCATCCCCCGCTTGTTTCAAGTGCGTCTGGAGGAGTGCCCTGGAATGGCAGATTACGTCGCTGAAATTCAAGGGATTCATCAGGAGCTGAAGCAACTCGGCATTGTCTTCCCAGAGCAAGCCCCTGCAGCAGCTCTGCTTGTTGGGCTGACCCCCTCTTACAATGTCACCCGCTCCATGCTTCTCCATCTCCCGCCAGAAGAGCTAACCTTTGCCAAAGTCTCTTCCGCACTTCTCTCTGCTGAAAAAGACAACACTGCGCAGGCTCGTGCAAATGCGCTTCGCGCTCCTGTCCCGGCTCCAGCATCGCGTCCCAATCCGCCACCCACTCGTAACCGCTACCCACCCTGTCCTTACGTCATCAAAATGGGACCCCGTGCGGGTCAAGTGTGCGGCGGCACCAATCACCCGCTCGCCACCTGTTTCAAAAAGAAGGACGACGACTGGTTCGCCAAGAATGGTATCAACTCCAAGCCGCCCAACTGGCTTCGCATGCGCCAACTCAACCAGGTTGAGGCACAGGATAGTCAGGACTCAGCCGTTCATGCCCCTAGTCCTGATGTTCGTCTCAACCTGTTGTTCCCTGGCCTTCCCATGATCAATGAAACCAGTTCCCAGTACTCGGCGTCTCCACAAACACCATCTAAACCGCTTGAATTCGTCCTGGACAGTGGCGCAACCCACACAGTCCTCCGAGACAAAGAGTCTTTCAAACCATACCAAGCACCCATTCCTCTTCTGGGCGCTGACTCCAGCTTCACAACTGTCGCCCATGGTTCCTCCACTCTTCCATGCCCAGCCTTCCCATCTGGCACAGTCACTGGCATATGCGTGCCCACTCTTCGGCACAACTTACTTGCACAACATGAGATTCAACGAGCAGGGGTAACCACTATCTTCCCAGCTCATTCCAATCACTGTGATCTCCTTCAGCCCACCACCAATGCCCTACTTGCACGCTTCACACTGACCGCCAACAACCTCTACACACTCCAAGTACCTCCATCTTCCACAGAAGCACACTCTACCTCCACCACATCATCGTGCTCCTGCCGTCAGCTCACCGATCCAACCATTCTTTACCACCATCGTCTTGGGCATCCCAACTTCCGCATGCTCTCCGAGCTTGCGTCTAAGAAGTTGCTTCTTCACCTGCCCGACACACTTCCTCCACCCTCCACTTCTCCCGCCCCTCCATGCTTGGACTGCGCGCAAAGCAAACTACGCCAGTTGCCTCACCCTTCCTCGCCCTCTGCTGCAGCCGCCCCGCTTGACCTCGTCCACATGGACGTCTGGGGCCCAGCTCCAGTCCGCTCTCGTGGCGGGCACTCTTACTTCCTAGTGCTCGTTGACGATCACTCTCGCTATGCCTCCGTCCACCTACTCTCCTCCAAAGCAGCTGTTCCAGATGTCGTCATCGCATGGGTTCGACAAGCCCAAAATCATTTCCGCACTTCAGTCAAGTGCCTCCATTCCGATGGCGGTGGCGAATTTCGAAACCATTCCCTTCAAGCGTTCTGTGCCTCCCAAGGCATTCGCCAGACCTTCACCCTTCCCCACAGTCCGCAGCAGAATGGCATTGCCGAAAGTCGCAATCGCACTCTCGTGCAAATCGCTCGCTGTCTTCTCACTCACGCTGGTGCACCACCTTCCCTTTGGGGTTACGCCCTCCTTCATGCCACGCTGCTGTACAACCTTCACCCTCACCCTCTTCGGCCTGCCATCACTCCCGCTGAACTGTGGACCGGCACCAAGCCCAGTGCACGTCCTCTCCGCGTATGGGGGTGTACAGCTTATGTGCTCCTCAACCCTCAGGAACGTCGCACCCACGGCGGCAAATTTGCACCCAAAGCTCAACCCTGTGTCTACCTCGGCCACAACCTGGACTCTCCCGATTACCTTTTCCTCAATCTCTCCACCAATCAGCTCATTCGTAGCCGCGATGTCGCCTTTGACGAGAGTCGCCCTTTTTACATCTCTTCACCACCCCCCACCGCTCCACCTTCGCTTGTGTGGGCCGATTTCGATACTTCACCCACCCCACCTCCTCCCTCTGCTGCTCCTCCTGCGGCCCCCTCACTCTCACCTTCCCCATCTCCTTCCACTCTCTCTCACCCCTCTTCGCCCACTGGCTCCGTTGCCCGTTCACCTCCGCCCGCGCCTGCACTTCCCCCTGCACCCGCTCCTGCAGCTGCCCCTCCACCTCCCTCTCCTTCTGTGGCTCCCCCTGCCCCCGCACCTCCATCCCCGCCTTCACCTCCGCTTCCGCCTCCAACCTCCACCTCTCCTCCCGACTCGCCCATCACCTATCGTCGCCGTCGCCACGGACGCTCTTATGTCGATGTCCCACCTGCTCCCCCGCCACCTCCCTCCTCTCCTGTCCCTATTGCTCACCGCACCCGCTCTCATGGTCCCGCTCCGCCTCTCGCCCTCTCTGTTCGCATCTCCCTCAATCCGCCTCCTCCTGCCGGGGGTGCATCCATGCCTGGCCTCTTGGAGGATAGGCATGAGGAGCTGATTGAGATCAATGCTGCCATCCGTCAGCTCTGCCATCTCTTCCCCGACCTTGCCGACGCTCCAACTCTTAACTTCTCGGAAAATCCATCCATCCCGACCCCGAACTCATATGATGAAGCCATCTCTGGACCACACTCCCCCCAGTGGCTCGCAGCCATGATCGCGGAGTGTGAAGCATTCATTCGCAACAACTCTTTCACGGACGTCTCTCCTCCGCGAGGAGTTAACATTGTCCGTGGCAAATGGGTTTTTCGCGTCAAGCAGCTGCCTGGCGAACTCCCAGTCTTCAAGGCGCGATACTGTGCAAAAGGCTTCACGCAGAAGAAGGGCCTGGACTTCTTCGACACATTCTCTCCGACAGCCAAACTGCCCACACTTCGGACCCTGCTGGACATTGCTGCTCGGTGCAACTTTGACGTTCACTCCATGGACGTCTCTGCTGCATTTCTCCAAGGGGATCTCCCCGAGGACATCTACATGGAACGTCCTCAAGGATTTCCCTTACCCTTTCCACCCGGCACGGTCTGGAAGCTGAATCGACCAGTCTACGGGTTGAAGCAGGCTCCTCGGGAATGGCACAAGAAGCTGAAGGCAACCCTCGAGTCACTCGACTTCCACCCCTCCTCAGCCGATCCGAGTCTCTTCATTCGCAAGAACGACAACCCGTTCTTCATCCTTGTCTACGTTGACGACATGATTCTCGTCTCCAAGGACTCCGATCAGCTGGCAGCTGTTAAGCAAGCTCTTGGGGACGCTCTCGCCATGAAGGACCTCGGTGAACTCAAGAACTACCTTGGGATGGAAATCTCGCGGGATCGCGAAGCTCGAACCATCACTCTCTCTCAAGAGTTCTATGTGAACAACGTCCTCAAGCGTTTTGCCATGGACAACGCCAAGCCAGTGGCCACTCCCCTTCCCTTGCAGCATGATCTGACCACTCCATCAGTTCCATCGCCTGAGCCTTGTGATGAGGCATACCCCGAGCTCGTCGGATCACTCATGTATGCGATGATGTGCACAAGGCCCGACCTCGCCTACCCCATCAGTGTGCTCTCGCGTTACGTTGCTGCCGGTCGATACACCAATCGCCACTGGTCGGCTGCTAAGCGCGTCCTTCGCTACCTCCAAGCCACCAAGGACTACGTCCTCACTCTCGGTGGCACGACTCCTCCTCACCTCGAGGGATACAGCGACTCCTCATGGGCTGATGATCAAGCTGACCGCCGCTCTTCCCAAGGCTATTGCTTCACCCTTGGCAGTGGTGTCATCAGCTGGCGATCTACACGCTCGTCATCCGTCTCATTGTCATCTTGCGAAGCTGAGTTATACGCAGGCACCATGGCAGCCCAAGAAGCTCGATGGCTTACCTACCTCATGGCTGAGCTCGGGTATCCTCAGCAGACCCCGACTCTGTGGTGTGATAACGAGAGCACTATCCACCTCACCAAAGATCCTGTCTTCCACCAACGAACCAAGCACATCGAATTGAGACACTTCTTCATGCGCGAGCTCGTCCAGCGAGGGCAGTTGTGCGTCAAGCATATTTCCTCTGACTGCAACCTCGCCGACTTGTTTACGAAGGCTCTTGGACGCCGTGATCACTATCGTCTCCTCCGTACCATGGGACTTGGCGTCCCTACGGCTTCCGACGTTGCAGCCTAGGGGGTGTGTTAGAGATAGGCTGCAATTCGGTCGGCACAATTTTGTGTGTTGACACTTTGTTGGTTTTAGGGATACCCATATTTGTTAGGTTGGGTGTAGCTATGTTTTCATCCCCAACCTATCCCAACCCAATCCATCCCAAATCCCCACGATTTGGGAGGATTCCCTTGGGATTCCCTCCGATTCTCCCTTATCCCTTCCCATCCTCTCCGATGCTCGGTACTTAAGGATGTATGCTCTTGCTCATTTCAATCAATCAAGTTCTCAGTTTCTGATAAGAATCCCCCACCTACCACTTTCGCCCGTACCCTAGCTGGGCCCCGCCGCCCCCCCCCCCCCCCTGGGGCCCCGTCGCGCCTCCTAGCCCCGTCGCGCCTCCTAGCCCTGTCGCGCCCCTCCTGGGCTCCGTCGCGCCTCCTAGCCCAGTCGCGCCCCTCCTGGGCCCTGTCGCGCCCCTCCTGGGCCCCGTCGCGCCTCCTAGCCCCGTCGCGCCCCTCCTGGGCCCCGTCGCGCCCCCTAGCCCCGTCGCGCCCCTCCTGGGCCCCGTCGCGCCCCCTAGCCCAGTCGCGCCCCTCCTGGGCCCCGTCGCGCCCCCCTAGCCCCGTCGCGCCCCTTCTGGGCCCCGTCGCGCCCCTCCTGGGCCCCGTCATGCCTCCTAGCCCCTTCGCGCCCCTCATGGGCCCCGTTGTGCCTCCTAGCCCCGTCGCGCCTCCTAGCCCCGTAGCGCCCCTCCTGGGCCTCGTCGCGCCTCCTAGCGCCCCTCCTTGGGCCCGTCGCGCCTCCTAGCCCTGTCGCGCCCCTTCTGGGCCCCGTCGCGCCCTGCCTGGCCCCGTTGCGCCCGCTCGGCCTCGTCGCACCCTGCCTGGCCCCGTCGCGCCCGCCTGGCCCCGTCGCGCCCTGCCTAGCCCCGTCGCGCCCTGCCTGGCCCCGTCGCGCCTGCCTGGCCCCTCCGCGCCTGCCTGGCCCTGCCGCGCCTGCCTGGCCCCGCTGCGCCTGCCTGGCCCCGTTCTTCCTGGCCCCGCGCCCGCCCTTGCGACCTCCGTGCCCGTCCGCTCGGCCCCTGCGCCCGTCCCAGCCGGCCTCGCGCCCGCCCTCGCGACCTCCGCGCTCGTCTGCTCCGCCCCTGCGCCCGTCCCAGCCAGCCCCGCGCCCGTCCCGTCGGCCTGGTGCCCCCTGCTCCAGGCCCCCGCGCCCGTCCTGCCCCGAGCTGTGTGCGGCCCGCTCGTCGTCCCTGCCCCGGCCCTGCATCCTCCTTGGTATGGTTCCCCATCACCTGTACCGCACTGCACCGAGCTGCACCGCACTGCACTGCACGGTACCGCCCTGCATTGTACTGTACCGCCCTGCACCGCACTGCACCGCACTATACAGTCCTGCACCGCACTGCACTGCGCCTGATGGCGGCGGAGCTTCGCTTCGGCGCTGAAGGCCAGCCTCTGGAGTTCGAGGCGTGGCTCAGCGACCTCCGTCGCCACCTCACTGGCCATCGGCAGGATGGCCAACCGCTTTCCGCACACCTTGACGGTACGCTCCCCTGCCCAGACCCCGCTGCTGTGCTGCCCGCTGACCCCACACCCGCTGAGCGCGAGTCTACTGCAGCCTCTGCCCTTGAGCGCTCTGTCTGGCTTTCCTGAGACGCTGTCGCTAAGCTTGCCATTAGCAATGCCCTTCCCCCGTCTGAGCGCCCTCGCTTTAGGTCCATCACTACCACCCAGGCTTACTTAGATGCTGTCATCAAGCGCTATTCCACCTCTCCAGCAGCCTCGTTGGGTCGCCTGATCCTCTCGATGCTCTTTCCCGACCTTGCGTCTTTCCCCACCGTCTCTGACGCACAGCTTAGAGCCCACCAGCCGCCCATTACCTCTACCCTCTACCTGCTTGCCACCCACCTCCCAGACCGCCTTGCCGCCGCCCGCGACCGCTTCCTTAGCATTCACCCCGGTGAGCTCACCCTCACCGACTTTGTAGACACCCTGACTGTTATTGAGACCCGCCACCACTCCATCGCCCTGGCGAGCGGTACCGTGCCGGTCCCTATCTTTCAGGGTTGTGCCTCCGCTCAGTATACCTTCTCCGACGGTTCTGTCGCTGTGGCTGAGACTGCTGCTGCAGCGCAGTTTCGTTCGGGGAAGGGCCGCCGCCCCAAGGCTGGGCGCGGCGGAGGAGGCCGGGGTGCAGGAGGGGGTGGTGGTGGAGTCAGGTCGTCTGGTGCTGGAGCGGACGAGGGGACCCTGCCCGGTCCAGCTGAGCCGCCGCCTCCGCAGTCGCAGCAGCAGCAGCAGCAGCCGGAGCAGTCGCAGCAGTCGCAGCAGCCGCAGCCTCCGCAGCAGCCGCCGCAGACGAGGCAGGCGAGTGTCCTCCCGCCCGGGTGGCCTGGCGCTGGAGGTGGTCGGGCGCGTGGTGGTGTGCCGAGTGGTGGTTCGGGAGGCGTGCGTTGTCAGTACCAGATCCAGACCAGTCCTCGCCGCGGCTTCGTTTGCGGTAAGCTCGGTCATACAACTCCCCGCTGTTTTTGTCGCCTGGACGACCTGTTTCGTCAGCACTTTGGCCCGTCGCCAGACCTCCCGGACTGGCACAGTTTGCTTAGTCGTAGGATTCAGATTTTTGACATGGACATGGATGCCATTGTTTCTGCTCTGCATGTGATGTATGCTGATGACTCTAGTGCGCTTCCCGCTTATTACTCACTGTTGCCTAGTGTATGTGTGCCTAGCTTAGCCTCCCCTGCTGCGTCAGGCGTAGGATCCCCTGCTTTGTGTAGTCTTGGTGCTTCCGCCGTCGTTCCGTCGCCAGACCCCTCGGCTTCGCTTTCCTTCACCTTGGACTCTGGCGCCTCTCGGTGTTTCTTCCGCGACTCCACCACCCTGACGCCGCTTCCTGTTCCTGCTGCCGTTTCTCTTGCTGACCCCTCCGGCGGTCCGGTAGTCGCCCGCAGTTCCACCACCCTTCCCTTTCCGGCGGTTCCTTCGGGTTCTCTTACAGGTCTGCATATCCCCTCGTTCTCCAGGAACCTAGTTGGTGTCGGCTGCCTCCAGGACCTTGGCGTCACCACTACGTTCCCTGGTCACGAGCGGTATGCTGTCTGTACCGAGGCCGCCACTGGTGCCCCCCTGTCCACGTTCCCCCGGGACCCGGTGTCCGGCCTGTTCACTCTGGACACCGTGACCCCCCCGGCTGGAGCGCCCCCTCCGGTGGCTGCGTCTACCCAGGTTGCTGCTGCCTGCTCCCGTCGCTCCCTCACTCACCCGACCCTCCTTTGGCACCACCGCCTAGGTCACCCTGCGCTCCCGCGTCTGTGTCACATGTCCCAGCACGGTCTCGTCCTTGGTCTCCCTGGTTCTCTCCCCGCTTTTCCCTCCTCCCCAACCCCACCTTGCACGCCTTGCGTCGAGGGTTGGCTCCACCGTGCCCCTCACTCCTCCTCGTTTCCCCCTACCGCCGCGCCGCTGCAGACCCTGCACATGGACGTCTGGGGCCCCGCCCCCGTCCATGGGCCGCGTCGAGAGCGCTACTTCCTTGTGCTTGTCGACGACTTCACTCGCTACACCTCGGTCTTTCCCCTGGAGCGGAAGGCCGACGTGCCTGACGCTCTCAACCCCTAGCTTGTCTCTGCCCGTGTCCACCGAGGTCTCCCTGTCTTGCGTCTTCACTCCGATCGTCGTGGCGAGTTTGCCTCAGGTGTCCTTGGTCGCTTTTGTCGTGCGGAGGGCATCACCCAGACGTTTACCCTACCGGACTCCCCACAGCAGAATGGGGTCGCTGAGCGACGCATCGGTTTGGTCATGGAGGTGGCTCGCACCTCCATGATCCATGCCGGTGCACCCCATTTTCTATGGCCGTTCGCTGTGCGCTACGCTTCTCACCAGCTTAACCTGTGGCCGCACCCCCAGCAGCCGCATGTTTCGCCGACCCGTCTTTGGACTGGGTCTCCTGGTGACGCATCTGCGTTCCACGTCTAGGGCTGCCTTGCTCACGCCCGTGCCTTCGGCACGGACAAGCTCAATGCCCGCACCCTTCCCTGCGTCTTCCTCGGTTTTCCCCCTGACGCGTCCGACTGGCACTTCTACCACCCGCCGTCTCACCGCTTCTTTCACTCTCGCGACATCACCTTTGACGAGTCTGTCTCCTTCTACCGTCGCTTCCCCCACCGCGGTCCCCCGGTTACCCCCCCCTGTTCCTGGTCACTCCTTCCCGAGTAGTCCCTGCCCCCCCCCCTCCTCCTCCCCGTCCTGCACCCTCTGGTGTGTCCCACGTCACCCCTCTTCCGTCGGTGGTCCCAGTTGAGGAGTCTTCTGACTCTGGTGGTCCTGCGGCGCAGTCCTCGCCGGCTGCCCCTCCCCAGGCGTCCCCTCCTCCACCGCCTCTGCCGCCGCCGTCGCCCCTGCTGTCGCAGCCGTTGTCACCTCCGCCGCCGCCGCCGCCGCCGCCGTCGTTGTCGTTGCCGCCGCCGCCGCCGTCGCCGCACCCGTTCATTGACTCTGGGGGTGCTGGCGTTGGAGTGCGTGCTAGTCTCGGTAGCCCTAGGGGTAGTACCGGTCCTCGAGGGGTTTCGGGCTCTGGGGGTGTTCCCTCTGGGGGTGCTGGTGTGGAGTGTGCCGGTGGTAGCCGAGGAGCAGCTTGCGGTCCCGGTGTCGGCGTTGTGCCGCCGCAGCAGCAGTCCCCGCCGGTGTCAGCCCTTCGCCTGCTCGGCCTTCCGTCCCCTGACCCTGCGTCTGTTCCTCTCCGGCCGTCTCCTCCTCTTCCTGTCTACAGCCCTGTGTTCCCTCCGCCGGACTCTTCCCCAGCTCGTCTTCCCCCTCGTTCCCCCCCTGTGTCCCCTCCTCTGTCTCCTGACCCGACTCCTCCGTCTCACGTGTGGTCTCGCCGTCCCTCCCGTGCTCGCCCTGTCTCCCCTGTCTTGCGCTCCCACCCTATGTTGCTTCGTTCCCACGCGTTTCGTCCTCCCCTTCTCCCGTCGCCTCCTCCGTCCTCCCTTGTTGTTGCACCCCCCCCTCTGTCTGACTACCTTCGTGCCGCTCGTCCTCTTGTTCCTCAGGTCCTTGCCTCTCTCGTTATCGACCCGTCTGTTCCGGTCTCGTGTCTTGACGCTCTTGTAGCTGCGGTCGCTGACTTCGTCTCTACCCGCCGCCTTGACTACGCCACCGCTCTGGTCTCTGACCCTACCTGTCCTCCGTCTGTCGGGGGTGCTCCTGTCCTCGGCAGTGACGTCCTGG